AATTCAATATAACAATGCAATTGGAAACATTGAAATGGAATCGTGAAATATTTAGTATAGCGTGTGTTGCTTTTACATCCAACAAATGGTGCTGGTCTTCAAAAAAGCATGTTTTTACCTGTCACAGGTGTGACATCTATATAATATAGGTATATAAAAACACACACGTATTAGAATGCGACATTGTGTCAAAATTTCAAAGCAATCGGTAAAGAACTTTCGGAGATTTAAGATTTTGAACAAACGAACATTTACATTTTTATTTATATAGATACTATGGAATCACTGATCTTGAGCTATTCATGGATGTGCCATAATTTTACTATAGTAAAACAATGGAATAGGTATTCTCTAAAATTATTTAATCATAACATAGTGCATGCATCTCTATCTTTGTATGGATAAACTAGATATTACTTCTCTTAGAAGGAGGTTTCTTAGCAGTGATGGCTCATTCTTATCGGTCTTTTCATTTGTACACAATTCCTGTTGCTGCCAGAAATTAGCTCAGAATTTACAAAGTGCCCTTGAATTGGTTATGGATTAAAAGAGGAGGAATCCTAGACTGAATGCATATTTATTTGTTTGTTTAATTTTTGAGCAGGATATAAATACAGGAAAAGATTTAAAAATTAAAACTACTATGGAAAACAGCACAATAAAATAAAATATTAAGCTGCAATAAGACAGCAATTGCTATGGGATTAAAATTTCAATAATAAAACTAGCAATATTATACTAGGAAAAATAGTGAAATAATATTTTAAATATAAATATAAAATATATAAAATATCAGGTGAAGCAAGGTGGCATAACTGAAAAGACCTTTTTTATTCTGGCTATCCTTCTTAACTCATTTGGCCAGAGAAAGACTTCAGAAAGCAACCATCAGGCCTTCAGGGTAGACGGACTTGAATATCTAAGTTATGAATACTAAAATATTCTGCTACAGCTACAATAACAGAATCTTGCAATCCCGTTTCTGCCTTTTTCCTGAAAGGAATTAGGAACGGTCAGCTCTGACACACTTTCTCCAATTCCATTCCCCATTTGAACCTATTTTGACCCTTGCTTTAACTACAGCTCTTTATCCTCATTCCTCAAGGTTATTCTCATGGCCCATTTCATCAATCCAAGGATAAGATAGGTAGGAACAGATACCCTTTTTGATATCCTCCACCAGGTTCCCTATGGCTTCATAAACTTGGACTGTTGCTTTGAATTTTGCCTTGAAATGGCACAGCACTAGCATAATATGGTCTCGTTAACTGTTTGCTGGCATTATTTGAACCGAATTGGATTTCTCGATAATTTTTGAGACTACTCATCTATAAAGACATTGTAACAGTTGAATCATCAGTTTGGATGAGCATGAATGGTTCTTGCATGAAAAGCACATATCCAACCTACAAAGGACCCGGATTGTTGTTGTGGGCGATATGCTGACTTTGTAAACCGCTTAGAGAGGGCGGAAAGCCCTATGAAGCGGTATATAAGTCTAACTGCTATTGCTATTGCTAAAGGCCTGCAGGACCCTATTTTAGCTTTTCTAATCAATCCAGGGCCTTTTTCATATGAAGATTCCATAAGGTTTGCAACTTCCATCCCTTACCCAGATCTCAAACATGTCTTCAGGCTGCAACTTGCGCAGGGTGGCTCTGAAAGGGAAACAAATGGTTTTCAGTTCCGTTCCATTCTATTTCGATTCATAAGAATATGTGTAGGGAAGGTAGATTCAGAAAGTATGACTGGCAGATCAGAAACCAGTTCCATAAAACATTATAGTCACTCTTCAACAACACATGGAGGATGTTCAGAGAAAAGCATTAGCAGATGGTATTAACGTGAAAAACAGCAGTGTGTACGGCTGATTCTATCAGGCTCAAGGTATTATATACCCTTTTCCCTCCTTGTTTTCTCGGCTATCCATTCTAGGTAGAACAGATTCTTTTCCTGAGAGGAAAGTTGAATAGCAAAATCTTTATGTGAACTGGATATTCAAATGAACATTGAAATGAATAGGGTAGTGAATCACAGTATCCCTGTGGATCACAGTATTGTGAGGGGAAGGCTTAATAGACCTCCACTTTTGTACTTTTCACAGATAAATAGAAACCTTGAAAGCATCCAGCCATTAGATCATCTTTTTCAGTTACCAAATGTGTGCTAACTTTCTCCAGGTTTTAGGAAGGACATGACAAAAATGAAGCTTTAAAACACTACCCATTACTCAACTCTAGATATAATAACTCTACCAAGCTCAGGAGGGAACTATATAAATTCACTATTTTTCAATGATTGATACTTGAATTCGACATGCATGGTTTTGTGCAGACTTCGGTGTGCGCATGTGTCGCCTGTCCTGCAGGAGCTGCATTGGTTGCCGATTTGTTTCCGGCTGCAATTCAAGGTGCTGGTTGTCACCTTTAAAGCCCTTCATGGCTTGAGATCAGGTTATCTGACGGACCATGTCTTGCCAGTTACATCTGCCCAACTCAGTAGAATAGGCAGCCAAGGACTGTTGCGAGTCCCATCCTCTAAGGAGGTACATCTGGTGGGACCCAGAAAAAGCACCTTCCCAAATATCCCTCCCTTTGGAATATTGTCCCTTCAGAAATTAGACTGGCCTACACTTTGACACTCTTTCATAAGGCCCTGAAGATTTGGTTTTGACAGCGGGCCTGGGGAACCCAGAGTGGGATGGAGCTCATCAAATGACGTATGTATCAGGCAGGGGGTTATTGTTTTTTTTCCTATATTGTGTGTTATTGCTTGTAAGCCACATAGAGTCACTGTGAGTGAGCAGGCAGCTACTGAATATAAATTAGGTAGGTAGGTAGGTAGGTAGGTAGGTAGGTAGGTAGGTAGGTAGGTAGGTAGGTAGGTAGGTAGGTAGGTAG